AGAAGGAAGGAATTTCCTGGCCTCGGCTCAAGTCGGAGAAGCCAGTTTTAAACCAGAGAAGGAAGGAATTTCCTCCTTTTGCTTTTCCCCACTTCTGGTCCCTGGCCTCGGCTCAAGCCAGAGAAGCCAGTTTTAAACCAGAGAAGGAAGGAATTTCCTGGCCTCGGCTCAAGCCAGAGAAGCCAGTTTTAAACCAGAGAAGGAAGGAATTTCCTGGTCTCGGCTCAAGCCAGAGAAGCCAGTTATAAACCAGAGAAGGAAGGAATTTCCTGTCCTCGGCTCAAGCGAGAGAAGCCAGTTTTAAACCAGAGAAGGCAGGAATTTCCTCTGTTTGCTTTTCCCCGCTTCTGGTCCCTGGCTTCGGCTCAAGCCAGAGAAACCAGTTATAAACCAGAGAAGGAAGGAATTTCCTGTCCTCGGCTCAAGCCAGAGAAGCCAGTTTTAAACCAGAGAAGGAAGGAATTTCCTCCACTTGCTTTTCCCCGCTTCTGGTCCCTGGCCTCAGCTCAAGCCAGAGAAGCCAGTTTTAAACCAGAGAAGGAAGGAATGTCCTGGCCTTGGATCAAGCCAGAGAAGCCAGTTTTAAACCAGAGAAGGAAGGAATGTCCTGGCCTTGGATCAAGCCAGAGAAGCCAGTTTTAAACCAGAGAAGGAAGGAATGTCCTGGCCTTGGATCAAGCCAGAGAAGCCAGTTTTAAAGCCAGAGAAGGAAGGAATGTCCTGGCCTTGGATCAAGCCAGAGAAGCCAGTTTTAAACCAGAGAAGGAAGGAATTTCCTGGCCTCGGCTCAAGCCAGAGAAGCCAGTTTTAAACCAGAGAAGGAAGGAATTCCTGGCCTTGGATCAAGCCAGAGAAGCCAGTTTTAAAGCCAGAGAAGCCAGTTTTAAACCAGAAAAGGAAAGAATTTCCTCCGCTTGCTTTTCCCTGCTTCTGGAGTAAAACAACTACTTTCAAAGTAAAGATCACCCAAGGAAACGGGAAATAACACTTTCAAACCATTAACGAAAGGATTCGGAAGTCTCGGAAGTTTCGAAAAGTTTTGAATTTTTTTTCTGTGACAATTGGAATTGACTTTAGAATTGAACCACCAGTGCCCCCTACGTCCGAAATGAGTTTTGAACCTTTTTTTTGTGAATCAACCAAGCCTAACATATAATACTGATATTGTACTAGGCCAGTGATGGGCAACCTTTTGAGCTTGGTGTGTCAAAATTTGCCAAAAACCTGAGCATAACTTGGGTGGGGTGTCAACTTCGAGAAAAAAAAAACCATAATTTTGCAATATTTATATTTTAAATAAGAAAAATGTATATTCCATGCTGAGTTATGGAGTGAGCAATGCTCAAACGTGCAGATGTTAAATTTGTAGAGCCTTTTACAAATTTAAGGATGGAATTAGATTGGCTCTTATAAGGTGTACTTCTCTGTATGCGGCCGCATATGGCCGCGTGTCATCAAAAATAGCCACGCATGTCAGTGCTGACACACGTGTCATAGGTTGACCATCATGGTACTAGGCTAATAATATAATATATTATATGTATATATATTGTAAGCTGCTCTGAGTCCCCTTTGGGGTGAGAAGGGCAGCATATATTTCTCATAAATAAATACATACATACATACATACATACATACATATTTTGGGGGGAAATGAGGCATGCTTCAATTGATGGGGAAGGAAAACAATTGAACCCTTTTAATTATGCTTCCTTCTTGTAGGAAAGAAGCTTTTTGGGGAAGGTTACAGCGGACTGGAATACGATTACCGGGGCCTCATTAAACTGTACAACTCCATTGGCAATTACGAGAAAGTATTTGAATACCACAACATTTTGGCCAACTGGAACCGGTTGCGGGATCGGCAGTTTTCGGTGACGGATGCCTTGGAGGACGTCAGCACCAGCCCTCACTCCACCGAGGAAGTCGTCCAGTCGTTCCTGATGTCGCAAAACGTAGAAGGACCGCTTTCCTAAGGAACTTGGCCAGCTTTCCCAACGGGGCTTTTTCCCCCCTCCCCTTTTTTTGTTGTTGTTGTTACCCACAGTTACATGGGAGAAGTCATACTGTGAAATTTGAAAAACCATGTCGTTATTTTTTTTTCCTCTCCCCCGCTCCCACCTTTTTTTCTTCTTTGTCTTCTCCTCGAGGGGGCTGTAAAAATTGCATTGAAACACTGGTCCGGTCCATAAAAAAAATAATCCCCTACCTTTGGGGTGATCTCAACTTTTGATGGAGTGACCGTACAAACGAATGTGTGCTTAATAATAATAATAATAATAATTCCTACCAGCATGAGTACGGCATGAGTTTTGTTTTGGCGAGAGAGAGAGAGAGAGAGAGAAAAAGAGAGACATACATAGAGATATATATAAAAAGAAAAGCATAGACATCCCTAACGATCGTCTGTATTTTAACAAAATCTTTTTTGCCTTCGAAAAGAAGCCACTTTACCGGAGAATCGAAAGAGAGAAATAAAAGCATTTAACACTTTTCAAGAGTCGCATTCTTGATTGTGGCTTGTCTGTCAGGTGAGTCAAAGCTGTAAAATGCCGTTGGATGGCTCGCTTTACCTTGAAAAAGAGTCTTGATCAGATTGTTGGCAGAGGATATTCACACGCGGAGAAGGGAAGAAAGACCTCGCTTCTTATTTTTGTGCTGCCTTACAAAAGAAACGTGGCAAAGGATTGACCTCAGAGAAACAACGCCTGGCTACGAACTCAGCATCGAAACTGGACCAGTGTTTGCCCGGACATCGTCATCGTCGTCAGCGGGACATTATATAGTCTTCGCCTCCTTCTCCTCTCTCCTTTTTGTTCTGTTTTGCTGGTTTGGGGCAAAGCGTTTTCCGTCGCGGGATCAAAAGGATTCAAAAAGCGGACCATTTCTGCGCTCAGTTTGCATTCAGGAGTGTTATTTCCAGTGCTAACGAGAGACTTTCTATGTGCGCTAGATCATTAAATGTAGGAGCTTCAGCATCGCGATGGCATGTTTTTTAAATTTCAGAGGCTCAACAGGTAAACTTAGATGTTGACGCCGTAAAGCAAAACCTTTTTCAAACGCTTCGCCCTCTCTCTCCTTTGTCCCATTCAGAATAGGCTCTCTCTAAAGGCTATACACACACACATACAAGGGTTGAATGAAAAGTAATGCCTCCACCTTCGTAACTCCTCAACAGATGGCAGTAATGGTATGCAGCAGCACTGGCTTGTTCAGTAGACTCTCCTCTACAGTTCCATTCTGACATTGAATGGTTGTGTTGTTAAAAGTGCAAAGTATGGAATCCTGCGCAGACGGTTGATCAATGCGACTTAAGCAACGTGCAGTCATTGAATTCTTGACAGAAGAAGGTGTCACCTCAACATCTTTAAACTTACTCGCCCAATGACGCACGGTACTCACATCAACACAATCACCCTAAACATAGGATCATAGAATCACAGTTGGAAGAGACCTCATGGGCCATCCAGTCCAACCTCCTGCCAAAAAGCAGGAATATTGCATTCAAATCACCCCTGACAGATGGCCATCCAGCCTCTGTTTAAAAGCTTCCAAAGAAGGAGCCTCCACCACACTCCGGGGCAGAGAGTTCCACTGCTGAACGGCTCTCACAGTCAGGAAGTTCTTCCTAATGTTCAGTTGGAATCTCCTCTCTTGTAGTTTGAAGCCATTGTTCCGTGTCCTAGTCTCCAGGGAAGCAGAAAACAAGCTTGCTCCCTCCTCCCTGTGGCTTCCTCTCACATTTTATAGGCTTGGGCAATCCATGGTTCTAAATGGTTCTAAAGTACTTACAAAACTAAAGTTCTGGTGGTGAAAATTTCAGAACTCTAACAAAACTTTCAAATGTAATTATTATTTCATTATTGGCGATTTTTATGACAGAACCAATTAGGAACTGCCATTTATAATGAAATTTTGAGAGTTTTGTTAGAGTTTTGAAATTTTCATCACCAGAACTTAAGTTTTGTAAGTACTTTAGAACCATTTAGAACCATGGATTGCCCGAGCCTAATATTTATACATGGCTTGCATTCTCTGATGAGCCTCCTTTGGGGTGACACCTTCTACTGTCAAGAATTCAATGACTACACGTTGCTTAAGTCACATTTATTATTTATTAACTTTATTTGTGCCCCGCTACCATCTCCCCAAGGGACTCGGTGCGGCTTACATGAGGCCGAGCCCACAACAGCAATACAAGCAATAAAACAACAATACAAGCAATTTAAAAACATAGACAATAAGATAAGCAACATTATCAATAAAATAACACACAATTAAAAACAGAGGGGAGGCCAAATGTAAAGTTAAAATTGGAAACATTGACCGACCGTCTGTGCAGGGTTCTATACTTCACACTTTAACAACATACCTGTTCAATGCTAAGGTTTCCCGCAAAATGGAACTGTAGAGGAGAGTGTACTGAACAAGCCAGTACTGCCACCTGTTGAGTTACAAAGGTGTAGGCATTACTTTTCATTCAACCCTCATGTGTATGTGTGTAGCTTGCTTGTGCTCACTAGGTTATTTTTAATCGCCGTTCAAGAATCTGGTATGATTTTATTTTATGTACATTTTTTGCAGAGATCAGTGGAGAATGCCAAAAACAAAACAAAACAAAAAAGCACAACCGGTTGCTCTCTTTGTTTTCCCCTTCCTCCTTAGACAAAACCCTGTTTGTCTTTATATTTAATTTTGTCTATAAATGCAAGTATCCGCCTGTTATACGTTTGAAGGACAAAACATTATATATAACTCTGCCTGTCTTACTAGTTTGTCTTAATTTGAGTTGTGTGCGTTGGTGGGTTTTTTTCGTTTCGTTTTCCTTTGGATTGAACCATCCTTGAGGTAACGACGGGCATGCCAAGAGACCTTTGTAGCATTGACAGAAATGGGTAAGCGTGGTTGCTTATTACCTCAGTTTTCTTAATGCAGAGGCACGGGCAGTGCGTCTGCCTTAAGGGTATCGATCATTGGGTGGCCTCCCCTATTTTTCAGGGGGTTCCTACGTTGCCCAGAGAACGAGAGGTTCGCCTCTTTCGCTTTGGGAGTGAACTTGATTCTATTTCGAGTTTTGGAGCGAAGGGCGTCAGGTCCTCTAGTCCAGAGGACAACAAAGTTTAGCAGTCAGTGGCTTTGGATCCTTCTCTTAATCCTGACTGTAGCAATAGGCTCGGCTTGTAATTTGGGATATTGCAGTTCATTGTTTTCAACTGGTGCCTTTAACAAAAAATATATACACACACCTCTTTGGTTCGTTTTTGTGCGCAGGCAAGAAGGAAGTCTTGTTGCCCCGTATTCAAAAGGAAGGTATTCGTATTCAGTGTATGGGAATCCACAGAGAGTCCATAGGATGTGGAATTGCCCACGATCGCAAGGACGCACCTCTCCATATAGATCAGACTCTGTGGCTTCTGCATTATAGCCCTGCAAAAGGTATCTAACAATACATTCCTTCTCCCCCAACTTTTGTTTAGTTTGTTAGTTTGTTGTTGAAAGAAGTGTGAGGCAGAAGGGAACGTTTGTCTCCCTTGATTTTCCTATACAGTGTTCCCTCACTTATCTCAGGTGTTACATTCCAGGACCACCCGCGATAAGTGAAAACCCATGAAGTAGGGATGCTGTATTTATAGTGTCCCTACTTCATCTGAACATTAGGAAGAACTTCCTGGCTGTGAGAGCTGTTCAGCAGTGGAACTCTCTGCCACGGAGTATGGTGGAGGCTCCTTCTTTGGAGGCTTGTAAACAGAAGCTGGATGGCCATCTGTCGGGGGTGCTTTGAATGCATTATTCCTGCTTCTTGACAGAATTGGGTTGGACTGGATGGCCCATGAGGTCTCTTCCAGTTCTGTGATTCTATGAAGGAAGGTTGTGCCCTGAGTTGCCCTTCAAAGACAGCCTTCAGATCAGTGGTTCTCAACCTGGGGTCCCCAGATGTTTTTGGCCTTCAACTCCTAGAAATCCTAACAGCTGGTAAATTGGCTGGGATTTCTGGGAGTTGTAGGCCAAAAACATCTGGAGACCCCAGGTTGAGAACCACTGCTTTAGACAATGTTAAAAGTAAAAGAAAAATGCTTTACTTCAGCAAACACAAAGGATAAGCAAATGCAATTGAAAAGTGCAAAAGAAAGCAAGGAAATCTTAATTCAGACACAAATTAAACTCTCTTATGAAGTCCTAAAAGAAACACCAGTCTTCCATCAGACAATGGGCAGTGAACTAAGTTCTTAGTAGCAGACACAAAGCAGATTCCATTGGGGTGAAAACATCAGTATCAGGTTTGTTGTTACCAACGAAAGCTGACTGTTCCTGCTTCTGATTTATAGCTCTGAATTCCCCAGGAGGTGCTAGGGCGTCTCCCAATTAGCTCAGCATTTTTAGCAGCTATCCTAGCTAATGCCATCTGTGCTGTGTCTCTTTTCATCTCTCTAGAAATGTGGGCACTTTCAAACCCTCGTTGTCTGATTCTTCTTCTCCCTCGTCATTATCAGCGAAAGCTGATTGCTCCTGCTTCTGATATATAGCCCTGAATTCCCCACGCAGGAGGTGCTAGGGCATCTCCCAATTAGCTCAGCGTTTTTAGCAGCTATCTTGGCTGAATGCCATCTGTGCTCTGTCTCTTTTTGTCTCTCTAGAAATGTGGGCACTTTCGAACCCTCATTGTCTGATTCTTCTTCTCCCTCGTCGTTATCAGCGAAAGCTGATTGCTCCTGCTTCTGATTTATAGCCCTGAATTCCCCACACAGGAGGTGCTAGGGCATCTCCCAATTAGCTCAGTGTTTTCAGCAGCTATCCTAGCTGGATGCCGTCTGCACTCTGTCTCTTTTCGTCCCTCTAGAAACGTGGGCACTTTCAAACCCTCATTGTCTGATTCTTCTTCTCCCTCCAATTCCTGAGCACTTCCCTGCTCCCCTTCCTCTTCCAAAGGTTGCTCATGTGTAACTTCATAGAGTTCTTCCTAAAGTAAGATCCATGCCATCTTAAGAGATAGAAGAAACCGAAAGGGCTGTCTAGTGCAATCCCGTATTTAAGGTCCAGTCTGGCTTGCCTTAAATGAAGCCATTTGGGAAGAAAGTATCTTCGTCGGTCAGTTCGAGAGTCCGTCTTGGACGCTCAGAGCCACATTTTGGAGGGGAGCAAAGACATCGGTCTCCATATCTCGGACCATATTTCAATCCCCTCCACCAACCTTGCCAGACCGAGTGCCCAAAGTGCTATTATTGCGAAGTGGGATATTTCTGTTTCTTTAGCCGTTTTCTCGCGTTTTCCTTTTCTCGGTTTTTGGCAGCGTTTGGCCTGTCGCACATTTCACCTCTTGGCCTTTCAGGGATGGGGATCCCTTGGCTGTGTGTTTTCATGGGAGGGCGGGGAGATTGGATCAAATGGGCAAGAGCGTGCTTTTGGGGGGTTCCTTTTGGACCGCTCCCCAAACTCAGGAATGTTTTGAGGCAACGGAAATGGCTTAGTCTCTCAAAGTGTGCATTCCAGGTTCT